TCTGTAACTTCCAGGTGTGAGCATGGGTCTGAATTACTACAATATCAAGACAGTCTCCAGTAAGAACAGAAGAAAGGCCTTGTGACTCTTTCATTCTACTCCACCGGCAATTTCAAAAGTAGACTCAGAAGGGCATAAAGTTGGTCTGCTGTCACTGCTGACACTGTTCCCATACTTCACATACACGTTAAAGTAGCTTCCCAGGTGTCTGTGCAGCACGTTCACATTTGCGTTATACTTTCCTCTACAAGCTGTCACCCAGTGCACGCTGTTCAAACAAGTCCTTCCTCCTAGCAGTGGCAGCCTTGCCTTTGACTGCTGACTGCTGTGAAAAAAATATATTTTTTTGCTCTGCATTTAAAGCGTTTTTCTGTAACTCTATCACTCATGCCGAAGAACAAACACCTTTGTAGCCCAGACATGTCCATTTATTTGCAACAGAGCCTACATATGAATCCTCACACTTATAAAATTCTCCATATAAGCATGTCTTTCTACTTCCAAAACGTAGGTGACTATTAAAACCAAGATAATCTTTCTGAAAATAAAGCCAAGGCACAAAATCTCTGCAAAGAAATCTAAGAGAGGCCATAGAGCGTTATCTCATCCATAGCTAATCCAGACCTACAGTACACACTCGAGTGACGCAATGCCTGGTATACAGTACACTGTGCCGACTTGCTGGTAAGTGTAAATACGATCATGTAAGCAAAAATGAGAACTTAACATTCAGCCAGGAGGGAAATTTAGACAGCAACACACACTGTTCCGGTTTTGCTTTAACACATCATGTTTTTCACACACTTTAAAAAAAAATCTTCTAGATATCTAAAGTATTATCAGAGCTAATGTTGTAATAACAAACCATAATTTTGGTGTTCAGCAAACGACAGAATTTGCTAATCAGACATGAAGACAATGAACTTCAAGGCATCATGCTCTTTCCACCTATAAGAAAGTACCCATACAATCCTATCCATGGCCACAATTTACCACCAAAAAGAGAGTCAATAAACCCTGTGGCTGTTTGGCAGCATTTCTGTCTTCAAATGGAATGCTATGAGTTAAGTTTAAGGAACTTAAGGACAGGAACATGGATAGTATTGTACAGTTTTTCACATCTTTTCCCTTATCGCACAGCAACGTTTCAAAGAAGTTAGCTGCGTCAGCATGCGCAGGCCACAAAGGAACAACTAAAGGTTCATTCCATGCTAAAAATAGAAGAAAAGAAACAACGTTTTGGCTGTGGAGTCTTCTTCTGAGAATTCTTTTTTAGGTGCCTTCTTCTTAGGAGCCTTTTCCTTGACACCCAAAGAAGGCTCCGCAGCTGAGACGTCTTGATTCTTTTCTTCTCTTTTCAGCATGGAGCAAACCTTTACTTGTTCCTTTGCAACATTTCAAAGAGCTTTTTCCTCAGAACGTCTGACTAGAAATACATTAAAAACATAGATTGCAATGGTTCTGGTACAATCCAATTGAATAAATACATTTAAAAAACCTTTGGAAAACATTTATAGACTTTTCTACATGAACACCAACACATACTTATTAGGGACACTAAATCATTACTGTTAATGTTAACTAAATGACTGAATACTCCCACTTTTAAGATGTAACATTGGTACCGAATACCTATAGTACCCAGAGACAACCTACGACCTGCACATCACTCTATTCCGTTACAGCTTTCAGAAAAACATATAAAGAAAAAAGGTGCTGTTAATTCTGAGATAGCTCCTTAATTCTTGTTTTTTTTTGCCTTAGCCTTTTATGTGCACAGATTTTTATTTTGGATTTTTTCAGACTTCTCTTTTTCTTTCCTTTTAAGCGGATGGAATTTGAAAACAAGGTCCTGACAGGAGCTGTACTCTGAGCCTCTTCTGTCCCTCCTCTGGCACCATGAGTCTCTATGAGAGCTCCATAGACCGTACATGATAGCAAGACAGGCCAGGATCCACATGTGCAGAGAGAGGGAACACGGAGGCAGTTGTGAGTTTTTTTCCCCCAAATCAGCAAATATCCAGTTCCAGCTAATCCCTGTTCTGTAACCAAACACAAGCAATGTAGTCCACAGGCAGTTTATAGTCCTCAGTCCTCATTACTGATAATAATTCAATATTTTGTTCAAAGTGCATTTTAAAAAGATAATGGTTTCCTTTGGATGACATTCCTATCTTGAAGGTACTGTACATCTTTGCCATACGCGCACAATGCAACGACACATTTTTATGTACACTGCTTCGTTATACTGAAGCTCTCTATCTTGTTCACAAAGGTGTTTTTTCCCTGTGTGCTTCTGTGGTGCAAAAAAAGGCTGGTACTCTGAGCAAGAAACAGGACATCCAAGATGTTGAACAAATTCAGATCATGCCCTTTCTTCTCACGCAAACTATCTGATATGATGATAATGATGAGGATTTCAAATTCTTTACCATCTCATTTCACATAATTTTATTATTATAGTTCTGTTTTTTTTTTCTTACAACAACCTGTAACCTTGTTTCAAAGCAATGCACAAGAACACATGGAATTACTGAACTACATGTGCTAGAAACAGACTCCTGCCTCCTGCTTCAACTGCCTCCACAATTTTACAATCAATCACAAAATAAATTAAAATTTCTGTTTTGAATAATCCCTTTACTGTACATAGTTTCACATAACCAATCTGTTGAATTCACATAATGTAAAATGGATTTTCTGAAAAAATACAACAAATATAAAAATACTTGTATTTATATTACCATATTTTGCTTTTCAAGCTATAATTTGCCGACAGTAGTTCACCATTCAAACTTTAAACCATTTCTCAACAAATTAATGCATTTAGAAACAAAACCAGACTCCAAGTAAATTTACAAGACGACAAGATTTATTGCTGGTCACTAAATATCAAAAGCATTTTTCTTTCTGTGATGTACTGTACACACCATTGATTGACTTCACAGTAACCACATCACAAACCAATACGTTTAAAACACACTAAGTCATGTGCAACATAGTTCTTCAAGTTTGCATGCTGACAAAATCTAACCACATAAAGACGTCTTCAAAATATAGCTCCAACTATAGATGTCCTCTTAGTGTTTCCACTGGGCTTTGTAGCATTCCTTACATTTTTAGAAAGGAATTCTGGGAGCTGGAGTTCAAGGAATTTTACCATTTGTAGTCAGACTTTTCTTAAAATATATAAGGGAGGGAGGTCACAACTGAAGATCTATTAAAAGAACACAAAACGTTGTATCCATATATAACTGCCCTTTAATTAATCACACAATTATCTCCAGACCCACACTACTGTACTTTCAAAGAGTTAGCTGGTCTTTTCAAATGAGCCGATTAGAAATGTAATAAGGAAAGCTAAAGAAGTAAATTCACTAGTCAAAAGATACTTTTATCCCAGACTCCAAAGATTGTTTTATTGCCGAATCATTATGAAGACAAACATAAGCCGTTGTCTGTTGCGGTCATAAACGTGAACTAATGTCAGCAGAGTTTTACAATTAAAAGGAATAATGTGGCAAGAAATGTCTTTACAGAATGTAAACAAGACATAAACCTGCCTGTCAGCAGAAAAGCAGAATAAGACACCTAAAACAGAAGATTTTCGAGCGAAATAGACTTCCTAAGAGCTTTCAATGCGGTAGTTGTGAGACGATGCAGAGAGGAAGGTCTGTTAGTTGTTATCACATAGAAGGCACGATTTCAAGGTTAATAAATTAAGCGATTACAAAAACTGACAGAAGGATTCATTTTAGAGTCTCCTGTCAGCATCCTTTGTCTTCAGGCCCGTGAAATATTTATATTCCCAATGATAAATCGATTGGGTTTTACGGCTTTTTATGTTTTCCTTACCTAATCACATCGTAATCATTAGGCACATCTTTAAAGAGGGACAGTACAATATTATAAGCAACACGGCGTCCACGCCTCCAAGTATTGACTTCTTCGATGGAGATCTATCGAGAGAATTCATCTTCCCAATTTTACAGTAGTTTGCTGCGCTGCTACCTAATAATTTTCCAACAACTGCTCCAAGTGTATAAGAAGTAATCGCCCATAAAGATCAGAATCAGAACAGCAAGACAGTTAAAAAATTGTATCATAAATCAAAAGCCATGAAACAACGTTTCGGTTATGATATACATCGAACAAAAACAAGTCATTCTCAGAAGACATCGACTTTGTAAAAAACATCATTACGACGTCATTTAAGACATTTTAATTTAAAAAAAAGTTTAAAAAATAAAACAATTTAAGACAAATTAGGTTGTATTTGTATTAGAGGGCCTATAGCTTAGAAACCTGAAGTATGTTTCCTACTACCAGTTTACTGGGGATGGAACGAGAAAAATCAAAATGTCCGAGAAACAACTGCATACTGCAATTCCTGGAAAGGTAAATGTGCAAAAATAATGATTCCAGAGTGCCATTTGCAAGTTTCTATATCACCGAAGTGATGTTCAGTAAACTGCGACAGGACGGCAGCGAAAAAGCAAAGGTGCTCCGCGGCTGGCAGGGAGTAGCTGCCGATTTTTACATTTAAAGTAAATGCCAGGCATTCAAATTAAATCTCACGAAAGCTAGATGGTGTATGTGTGTTAGGAGCGAAGGGTGGCTGCACAGAGAAACAAAAACGCAGTTTCCACTTGACATGTTATTTCGAATTATAAAAATAATAATAATAATAATAATAGCTGCGAGTGTCGTATGGGGAGGAAGATCAAAGCTGCAGAAAGTTTTAACATCAACACGTACAGGTAGTGGATCGCGCCTGCTTTTGTATTCTCCATGACAGGTACAGTATCAATCCACATGCCCATCTTTTGGAAGCCCAACGTGTTATCAGGACTTGCCACCAGTTGCTCATGGCTGTTTTGCCCCTCAACCCCTCGGGTCCTCTTTCCTGTTCGCCATCGATGCCCCCAAAACCTAAACCCACCTCAAGTGAGACACAGCCCGGGACACCCCCCTCACGCCCTTTGAAGAGACTCGATTACCTGTCTCTCGGGTCAATCCACGAGGTCTGCCGGGTGTTGTGGTCTATGAAGAAGACTCTGCCATCGTAGTCTCTTGCTTCCTCCCAGCCAGCGGGCAGCGGCAGCTCCGAGCTCACTCTTCGCTTGCTGCTGCTCACCCACGGCATAGCGGTGTGATGGTGAGGGGGTTCTCTCAGTGGCCAGACGGCCCCCCCTCACCCTCCCCTCCCACCCCGTCCTCTCTTGTCCGGACAAAAAATATGTATATGTAGAATCCCTCTTCAGTTCATTACAACACTTTCCTCTCGGTCGTCGGATTTGGCCCAGAAAAACAACAACAGACAACTCTGCAAAAATGAAAAAGCAAGCATGGATTGTCCAGTATCCACTTTCCCCCCCCAAAAAAAGTTTAGCTCGGCTCTCATAACGCCTCTCTCCGCTCCTCCATGTTCGCTTCTCCAGCCATATTTCATTCCACAGTGTCCATATTTGGGCAAAGGATATTTGCATAAACGGTGCCCAGGGGCGAAGGGATCATTAATACGGGCGTAGACAGGCCAATAGAAACACGAGGAATTCTGTAACAGCATGGAAAATGGAAGTTCCGTTTTTTTTTCCTAGGCGGCTCAAAAACGAGAGAAAAATGGATTTGATTTCTGGAGTTGACTGAAATCAAAGGCTAGCCGTCGGCAAGTGTCAAACGCGGTCCTTTCCATCATCTGGAGTGTCAGAAGGGTGGGGCTGGATGATTTGTAACTTTTCGGTAATTGTGTGGTATTAATACAATGTAATAATTCCCGTTCCCAAAAAAGGCACGGCTCGGCTTTAACTTGAGAGGCACAAAAACAAACTATGCATATATCGTTTGAATCCGCGAAAACTCCAAGCAAATCATATCCCGGTGCCGTTTATATGTAGCACGTAGAAAAGCAAAGTAAAGGGATCAATATTCCATAAATAATAATTCAAATACATTCTAACACACAATAAAATGATAACACAATATCACCACGTGTTCCTTCTTGCAGATTCTTATCTGCTGTAGGTGGCATCCACAACATACAATAAATGAGATCAATGCGAACATGTACAGTATATTGGATTTAATTGCGTTGTTTTAGAGTTCTTCTCCAAGGGACCCACAGAACTTATTCATCGTCCTGAAAATGTCAAACTTTCCTTCCTCGTTGGTGGGTTTAACTACCGACTAGTGTAACTACCGACTCCAAAAATGACTCGTGGCCAAAAGAATCAGGAGGCACTTTTTGTAGATTCTATGTCAAATGGATCCGTCTCGGTCATCTTTTCGGCCGATAAACCACAACCTCGGAGATCTCTGTTTATGCGAGTGTATCCATCACAAATCCTGGAGCAAAGTTTTCAGACACAGTTCCTGGTGGACCAAGTTTTTGTTCCAGCCTGGGTGGTCAATTAAACAATTAACATAATTACCTTCTTAGACATAGGATTTTTGTTGAGATCTTTCAGATCATATAATTCAAAACATTCACTTCTTTAAAGATTTTGTTCTGCACAAGCTTCTGATTACTTAAATGATTTATTTTTTTAATAAATTGGGATTATTTACCACATCCATTGTGACCTTATGTATTTCACATCTACAATATTTATACTGAGCAAAATGCAAAAATAACCCCAAACCCTAATACAGTTTATCCATCCAGATTAGTTGAAAATTGAGGAAAACATCCCAGCCTGCAAAGAGCTGATTTTTACATGACCCTGTTCCAAAGGGTCTAATAGTTCTCTGTCAAAGCCATACTTTTCAAGCAATGAACCACCAGGTCCATAGAACTCTTGAAGGAACACCAGTGTTTTAAAACACTGAAAATTAAACTGTAATTAAAAACATTTTTTAAAATGTTTCTACCAGTGTTGTGTGATTTAACCTTGTATTGGAAGAAAAACAGATCAAACAGCCTGTATTGCACCCATCAATACAATACAACTGACAAATGCCCCAGTATAGTGACAGGGACAGCCATTAAACCGAAGTCCTGACACTCTGGGGTGGCCTTTACCAATCATGGCCTCCTAATAATCTCCATCTGTGAATTGGCTTCACTACTCTGTTCTCCTCCCCACTGAAAGGTGATGTGTGGAGAGTGTACTGTGTGTACTATGGCTGCTGTCGTGTCGTCCAGGTGGGGGCTACAAAGAAAAGTTCTGTATAAATGTAAGGGATTATTATTATTATTATTGTGGCGCAGAAGGTGATGTCTTACGAAAGACGGCCACCTGCTGGTCCATTGACGCCACAGCACAATAACGTGTTTGAGAGGTTTTGTAACAGAAATACCACCAGTGAGAACCTTTCAGAAGATCTAGGTACAGCATGTACAATAAGTAAGTTTTGCAAACTTACCAAATAGCTTTAGGCCACTGGTACTCACGTCAGCAGTTGCAAAACAGGTTGGAATTCTTGTGTGCCAAGTTCTTTAAAAAACAATTCCTGCAACTTCATGGTGTCTTCTACTACTTTAATGTTTGTTGCTTTTATCAGCTTACATTTGCACCTATTTATACTACTGGGCAAACTGGTCAAAGTGCTACTTCAATAGCAGCGTGTCTGCTCGGAGTTAAGCTAAAAACCTGCCTCGTACCAAACCAGAACCGTAAATACTGCCCCACACTGCCATCTGCTAGTCATTTTTCCATTTGCAATTACTTCGTCTATGAGTCTGATTACTTAAAGGAGAAAATATAGGATTTGCCACGAGGTTACCAAAATGTTTTACAATGTGTCCAAAATCAATCACGTCTTTGAAATTCTCAGAGAAATTTTAAAAACAAAATTGTATTTTTCCATTTGTGGGGCTTATGAAATTTATTAAGTTTATATCTAAAATTGCTCTTAACAGAAAACCTGAAGTCCCTGCAACCCTCTAGGATAAGAATTTGAGACACCTGGTGTCCATCACACATTTTCTAGCCAGCATTTCCCAACAAAATCCTAACAGATTAAAATTTAAGGAAAACATCCATCTGATTGATAAGATAAACTGGTATTTTTTAAAAAAGGATTGAAGAATGGGTTTTTAAACTGTACCCTATTATGCTAGTAATGCTGGCCATTAAAACCAGCAACAAAAGCAGATGACAGGGGAATTGGTGTACATGCTGAATGTTAGCAACAACAGAGACAAATAAGAAAACCTGTATTTTTGGAAAATGTTACAGGTAGTGTTACTAGAAAACACAGTATTTTACTGCTTAGTTAAATTAACATAGTCATTAAAGGTTTTGCTGATATAGCATGGGTTCCTTTTAACTGCTGATGTATATGCATTTTTTAAAAGCTTTTAAAGTGAACTCAAAGCACCGTGTATGTGTTGCATGTTTTACCCTTTCACAATGTCCTCATGCTATTGAGGTTAATTAAAATTCAGAAGCTCAGCAGATCACTAGAGTGTCAGCCTCAATGGATGGAATATTCTGAGAAAATCACCTTAATCATAAACAAAATCCTAACAAGATGATGGTGTTCTGGTATCAAGTCCTGTTTGCTGCCAACCTGAGCATATTCCAAAGCCCAGGGTACATCTTCTCAGATGTGGCAGTGATACAAAACCACCCGTAATGTCAGGTAGCATTCTGAGATCAAGTAATCTCAGAGTTACCTGAAACAAAGCAGGTAACAATAACCAATGTGTTTTTTTAATGCGTACAGTATCATCCCTCCCATGTCAATATGATATTGAAAACTTAATTCTGAAAGTGTCCCAAATATTTATTTCTTCATGTAGGTTGTGCAAGGATTTGCACCCATATCACTCTTCAACTCACAACTGGAAACCCACTGAAGCTCAGCAGGTGTGAGCCTGGTCAGTACCTAAATGGGAGTCCTCCTGGGAAAAACTAAGGCTGCTGCTGGAAGAGGTGTTAGTGGGGCCAGCAGGGGGCGCTCATCCTGCGGTCTATGTGGGTCCTAATGCCCTAGTGACTGGGACACTATACTGTAAAAAGGCGCCGTCGTTCGGATGAGACGTTAAACCGAGATCCTGACTCTCTGTGGTCATTAAAAATCCCCATCTGTGAATTGGCTTCATTACTCTGTTCCCCTCCCCACTGAGAGCTGATGTGTGGTGAGGGTACTAGTGCACTATGGCTGCCATCACATCATCCAGGTGGGGCTGCACATTGGTGGTGGTGGAGTGGAGTCCCTGTTACCTGTAAAGCGCTTTGGGTGGAGTGTCCAGAAAAGCGCTATATTAATGTAAGCAAATTAATAAGTATTATTTCCTCTTGATGATAAATTGAGACCGAGTTAACAGCTATATTCCATATATCACTCTTTTCTACAAAGTTGTGATTCCTTGAATATAGATATATAGTCAGATCTCAGAAGCTAAACATGGTCAGTATTGGGATTTATTGGAGTCTTTAACACGGTTACCTCTGTGGTGACGCTTAACCAAACTAAGAAGTGTAACGTTTTTTTCTATACAAGCCCAAATCGTTTTGGAAGCTAAAAATCAGTTGATTTTTCACCTTTAATTTATGTTCTGCCTCCCTCGTGTGGACATAGTAAGTATTGAACCATATCAAAATGCATTGATGTCTCTACACTGTTACTATCTTTGTTTCCCCGAGTCAATTTGAATTGAGCCCAGCTAGGGTTAGAATATAATGCATTTGAACATGGGTACCTACTTTTTCACTTCTGGATTCTCCAGTTAGTTCTCACCTTGAAGGCAGGTTCCCTGCATCCAGATCGGAGAGGATTCAAAAACAATGTTATAACGGCATATTCAATTCCTCCTCTTAAAACAAACTCTTACTTCAAATAGCAAAAAAAATAATAAATTGAAATAATAATGATAATTTATTTAGTTACTCCGTTCACAATTGACAAACGTTTAGCACAGGAGAATCACTGTCCTATCTGCAGGAAACAGAAGTCTAAAGGTTTAACTAAAAAAAAAACGAAGGCGTTTTTTTAACCTTCCCGTTTTACTATTTATTGCCGTCTAAAAATGCATACACAAATTATGAGGAAATTTGCTACAGCAAATCCTCTTAATGTTTTGACCTGCCACCATAACAAAACCATTTGTTTTCCAGGGACTTTGTATTGAGATGTTGAAAACACCGTCCGCTGTTTCTTGGTTACGCAAGCCTTCGGATGCACAGAGCGTGGTGCATTGCGGGAAGTTCCAGTTTGCGTGAATCCCACCACCGCCCTCTGGCGGCCACGTCGCTCTCTCTTCTCTCAGTCTTTGACTCACCGTGCAGAGTTTCAGAACAGGGACTTGCGCCCAACTCCCGACCCCAGTGGCTGGAGGATCTTCCAGCTTTTGTTCCGTCAAAGCCCTCCGTAGCTTCATAACCCGAGCCAGACAAATGATTTTGCGCACTTGGAGCAGTTTGACAAAGTTCTCAGGTGTCAAGCTGTTCTTGATTTCTTGATGCAGAGGAAACATTCTGTGCTGAACCCCTCCTGGCTTGAACACGTGCCCACTTACTTGTTGATTCAGGTGAACTGTTCTATAAAATTTCTAACTCCTACTGTGAACCCTGAGTCTTCCTCAACTGTGGACAGATTTGGGATGTTTTAAAACTCCACTGCTTGGTGTCAGTAAAATCATAATCTTACATGTGCTGGGCCACCCCAGAGAGGGATATCTTTTCTAGCACTACAGTGTCCCAAATACATGCTTACATAGACATGGACATGCAAACACAACACAAGGGTGACCTCTACAAGCAGTTTAAAATCTTCGTTTGGAGAAGAAAACGTTTGGTTTAATGCTCCAGTAGTAGGGGCGTATTTTTTGTAACACAATCAGCTGAAAACATTTGCAAAATTGTTGATTCGTTTTGTGGTCATCAGCTTTCATGATAGAGGGTGGTAGGGCGAGTTAACACAGAAAGAAAACTAAAAACCCAGGACATCACAATTTTGTTTCAGGAGCCGAAAAGTAAAGTACCAGACGAAGGGGTGTTTTGTGAACCGCTCACTACAGCATCTACAGCTCTGAGAGTTACGTTCTGCCTGTGTTTTGCGCTGTTTTCACCATCTGCTTTTCAGCAGTTGATCCACAGCGTGTTCAGCTGCCACCAAGCACAGACTATTACTGGTCAGTCATTCATAAACTATCTGTTTTTCATCGCCTTATCTAGCTTTCTTTCCTTTCTCTCATCTAACTCCCTCACTCTCTCCTCGTTTTAATGAGACAGGCTGGAACGCTTGATCAGGAGTTTCCCTCTTGATCCCTGGCTGTCCTGCCTGTGAGTTTTGCCATGCTATCATGTTTTTCTTGGCCATCCGCACTGCTGTTAAGGCTATCGGTTTTAAATGCACTTCCTTACGGGTTCTACTTCTGTCCTCTGAGTTGAAGATTTTGAATATTTGAATCAGATCTCCTCTGGTCTTTTAATCTGTGTAGGACTCTCCATCAGGCCTAGAGAGGTATCACGGACCTCTTCCATGGAGAGAGCAGCATTTCCTTTTTCATAACATGGCAACCACAATTGTACTCAATACTGTAAATGAAGCCTTACGAGTGCATTGTATATATTTTAACATGGCATCCCTTGATTTAAATCCTACATTTTCCACTATATATCTTAACATTCTATTTGTCTTTTTCATTGCTAACCTTACATTGTGAGGTAGAGGAAAACAACACGTCTACAAAAACATCCAAGTCTTTTTTACTTGGAGTTTGTCCAGTTGTGAATTCTGTCTAAATCTTTGTTATTTTCTTACAGTGTTTCCTCAACCTCCTATTTTTGTACCATCTGTAAACTTGGCCTGTTTACTAATTATACCAGAATCTAGATCACTGATATAAATTAAGATCTGTGGTCTTAATATTGATTTCTGTGATGCTTCATTAATTACAGTATGTTACCACAATTTCAGCTTTAATATCTCAATTTTTTTATTTAGTCATTTTTGTTTGGTTGTTTTTTTTGTTTTAAATAGGCTGCCAGATCCAGACCCTTGTTCAAATATAATGTCAAGATAAACAACCAAAGTTGAGATAAAGCAATGCATGCACATATTCTTTTTACTGGTTGATGAAGAGCCTTGCTATACCATTTTCGCAGTCAAGTTTGTGTTTGTCAAGATGCCTTGAGCAATTCAAAGTGTGTCACAATCAATCAATTTTTCAAGCTAACCAATATGCTTCAAATGTGATCTACATGGTATAAAGAAAACAAGAGGCTGGCAAATTGACTGTTGCTCCCAGTGCATCAAGAATATGTGATAGGCTTGTCATGGTGCTTACAGGCATACAGGTCATTTGGATATTGGACTCCTTTTGATATAAGGAGTATGAAGAATAGCTTTTGGAAAATGACACTGACAACATTTTTTCTCTATATAAAGGCACCAATAAGATACTGAATTAGTAACTTACAATCACCATAATCTCTTTAATTAATTCATTCACTCCAAAATATTTTCTCACAGAGCATAACAGATTTCAGCATCTTGGATAGAATTTAAATTTACCAGAACAGTAAAAATGTATAGTAAGAAGCAGAATGTTTTGATGTACTGTTAAAGAGGAGGTAGTGGCAGTTATAGTTAAAGTATGTAAAATATCACAAACGCAAGCTGTTTGCAGTCTTCTGTCAGGCGATGTAAAATTGATCTGCGGCTGATTTTTGGTTTTATTCAAGCTACTATGTCAACCAAATTCAGACTTATTTAGTTACATTGTTTGCGATTGTGGTTAGCTAGAGAATTAAAGCACCAAAAAAGGGCTGATCTTTTGCTACAGTACACATACATTATGTAAAACAGAATCATGACGGCGCTTAACAGGTTCAAACCCTCCTGCCTGCACTTATTGCAAGCTCATAATATCAGTGTGCAAAAATGAACTCTTCTGCACTAAGACTGGTGTTTACAATGGTTGCTGCCTGAATTAAATACTGTAATCACAAAAGATGGTATGTAAATTGTAAGGTTCTTGGATGCAGCATTCTCATTGTTACATTTTTATTTAACGAGCCTTTTGTTTTTATTTCAACACATTTTTTACAAAATAGCATTTTCTATCTATGAATAGGTACTGTAGTACAGTCAATGGTGCACAGGCTATAATTTGTATTTATGTTTTTTGGTTCTGTAGCATTAATGAACATTTTCTGTGAAGCACAAACATATCACAGTTATCAGTTGGTTAACATTTTGCTCTCCATATCAGGATATTTTTAGGGAAGTCGTAAAACTACCCTGAAAGTTAAATACTCATTACATTTCAGTTTTGATTCCTTTGGTTTTTTATTATTTTTCTCTCAGGATTATTTAAAAATAATGATGCAGAAAAATCAGCTTTTGAAAAAACAATGTTCTGAAGAGGCGAGAATGGGCATATTTTTCAAAACTTTCCACTGCAAAGTGGTCAGCTTTGAAGGGACAATTACAGGAACTGACTGATTATGAAAAAATCTATACACAGGAAATAAGTGTCAAATAAAAATAAACAGGTCTGCAAAAATGACTCTTTCTGAGTGATCCATATCTTGATTTATTTCGGTAAACACTTGCATGTCTCCACAGAGTCTCAAGTTCAACAGCATACCTGAAATTAAAATAGGCCCAGTTAGTTGCTGGTGAAGGACACTCATTTTACCTTTTACTGTATGTTTAAAGCCCAACTGAAAGGTCAGTTGCTTCCCGTTGAAAATCGTTGAGAGCTTGAAGGAGATTTTTTCAAGTCTGAGAATTTCTACTTCTCCCAGCTTTTCCCCTTTCTCGCGCCCATACTCTCACAGAACACAAGCTCAATATTCTGTACATCGAGGAGTCTGATACGCAATACGCTGCTTTGACTCCTGGAATTTTTTTCCAACCAGACCAAAGAAAGCTGCATTTTGATGGTGTTCTTTTATATATCCCTGTGCAATCACAAAGAGTTACAATTCTCATTAACTTAAAGTGTCTTGGTTTGTTTGATATTTTTTTCATCCAAGAGCTAATTTTATTTCTACATATAATTGATATAATATCATTATACACATAAGATCAAAATGACATCTAAGAGAAAGTTTGGCCCGCTTTTTTTATTCTTTTTATTCTTTTTTTTAATTTTATTTTTAAAAACAATCAAGGATACATAGAATAACAACACCATGCTAGATAATCTTATTATTCTCCATTCATTCAAGGGTAAACTATCCAATCATTGAAAGGTATTATTTAAAAAATGCAATTTTTAGATTAAATATCACAGTTAAAAGTACTTTAAAGACCAAAATGTTTAAATTACTCAAAGCAAAAACTTGACAAGGTGAATACATTCTTCATAAAGTATAAAAATACACAAGTATTTTGAACACAAAGATAAACTGCACTTACCATTTTAATTCTTGGTCTGAGTAAGCTTTTCTGTTTTTGTAAGAGATGTATAATCCAGTTTTAACTGTAAGTGATGAGCTTGCAAAGTCAGGTCTTTTCAAGTTTTAAACCATGTAAAAATAGAACATTATGCAGTCTATTTTGCAATTTCAGACATGAATTAGAAAGTGTTTGTCAGTCTGCCTAAAAGCTCAGAATCTAAATCCTAAAACCTTTAATATCATTTCAGAATGATATTCTCAGATATCTGAAATGCTATACTTTCACTGATTACAATTTCACTTATCACTTTTCAACATTTACTTAGACTTACTTATAGATATACTGTACCGTGTACTGTATATCATATGACATATACTGTATGTAAAATATGAAGCACTTTAAATACTGTATATATTTCTAAAGCTCAAGGTGAATGATCTACTCCACGTTACTGAACAATGAAAACATGTTTTTGAAGGATTGTGATTAGAGGAATTCTACTTCAGAAAAGAATGCATTGTCTTTCTTTTAAGGATTAGGCTGTAACAGCAGAGTGAGCCGTTCCTCAGTGAGAAGCACTAGAGACGCTAAGATATGATGCACAGGGCAGATTTGACATGCCCTTGTTCAGCAGCAGTGTTGGCAACCTGGAGTTTGTAAAGCTTATCTTTTGCTTTTCAGCCAGCACGTTATTTTTTTTTTAAATTATAGGGCAAACAGCCTTGTTTAGTTTTTTTTTCCATTGCTCCTTATTCTATGCACCTCTCTTCAGCATTGGGTAAGCACTACACAGTGACCCATAATTACACGTCAGAAACAAAACGCCAAAAAATGGGGGGTGGATACTATAAATAAGACTGCCCTGCGCTCCCCAGATTATAAAGATCTGCATTTTAATAACATCCTGTCTACATTTTAATAGCATCCCATGTGGCAAACTGTTCGGAGACTGGCAGGGATCTGAATGATCTTTTTGTCCGCTGTCTCTGCCACTTGCTTGCTCCTGCTCTGATGCAGCAGAAGGGTGGGCAAGATGTCAAGAAGCTGAAGTCCTTTCATTCACAGATGATGTGAACATTTTGTCTTTTTTTTCTTTCTTTCTTTCTTGAGAGGGAGCTGATTTTGAAAACGTGTTTTTCAGTCCCGCTGAGGCAGCTAGCACTAATTGGCCAGTGTTCTTCAGAATTTGCACCATAGCGGGAGTTTTTCAGCTGCAGGGCACTGATACACGCGTACTCTACATCCAGCCTGGCAAAGGCAAAGAAGGGAAGGACACACTGCTCAAGCACAATGGATGCAGGGATCCGTGTCACTGAACTGCTGGGGATGTTTTTCTCTGTTGCGGCTTGGCTTTGCCTGTTGGCTACCACCTTCATGTCGTGGCTAACGCTCTCCACTGACTTGCTGCAGACAGAAAGCTACCAGCTGGGCCTATGGGAGAGCTGTGTGATCCAGGACCTGGGTGGCATGGAGTGCAGGGGTTATGATAGTTTGCTAGGCCTTCCTCATGATATCAAGCTGGCTCGGATCCTCATGTGTACAGCCATAGCTATCGGAGTCCTAGGACTGCTGCTTCCCATTCCTGGGCTCTACCTGGTGAAGACCTGTAAAGGACACGAAGGTGAGAGATCAAAGAGAATCCTGAAAGTGCTGGGCGGTCTCTTCTCCTGTCTGGCTGGTGTGATCTGTCTGGTCCCAGTGTCCCTCATGGCTCATGAGACTGTGCTAAGGTTCTGGGATGAAACACTCCCTGATATCGTGCCACGCTTCGAATTTGGGGATGCTCTTTTCTGTGGCTGGGCAGCCGGATTTCTTCACATCGTGGGTGGAATCCTCCTCATTTCCTCGTACTGCTGCTTCCGACAGAATTCGGGCGCTAATCCCCCCAGGAGCCAGGAAAAGCGAGGTTTAGATCACTCATCCAAGAAGCGCATGGAGTATGTTTAAGAGGCAAAGACTGGTTCACTTGCTTCTTTTGCTGAGTCCCTGTGAGTGACTGAAGTGATTCCAGTTTCTGTTTCTTTCTCCTTCTCCTCCACTCTCAAGATGAAATGCTGCTCCTTCTTCAAAGCTCTCACACGTTTTTCTAATTAAATCCTTGTGGTCACTAAGACAACACTTGGAATTCAGATACTTGCTCTTCTACGCATTAGTTTACTTTGAAGCCACGATGATTAATAGATATGTTTTAGCTGAGTTGTTTTAGGTGCTAGGTGAATTAATCTGTGCATGGGGCTGCTGCTACTTCCTCTTTTTGTTCTTACCTCAGAACTACCTAGTCCTGGATGATCAGCTTCTTCTTTCACTTGACCCAAAGTTTCCCCACACCGGATTTTTTTAAACAAGGAAATGCTGGGATGAGGAACTTAATACATTTTTAAACAGGTTGTACAGAATTTCCCACTTCTAACTTCTGTTGTTGGTTAGTATTCCATGTTTTTCTTAAAACGTGTTTGCTTTATGACCCGTAACACGGTATAAAAACCATATGACAATTTAAAGTACCCAGAGAAGGAGTAGACTTGCTATAAACAGCTTTAATCAATCTTCACCTCTGGTGGAACATGGCTGAAGATTGTGCAAGCAACGTGCCATAGAGTAGTTCTCATCTAAGGTATTAAATAGTTTTCTGACATTTATTATCATACTTCAAAATGAAAAATGAGCATTATTAGTGTTAAAAAGTTCCAGTGAAGTGCTTGGATTTTTTAAGCTTGATGAATCACACCAAAAGTAAAATTTTAAACGTAAAATCTCCTGAATTCTCTGCTGGAACAAAGGTGAAACCTTTATTAAGCAAAGACCAAATTCACATACACTTTGTGTAATAATATTGCAGAGTACTCTATGAAGGGGATAGCATAAATTATAGAACTTCGAATAGTCTTTAGAGTATTTGTGCATGTCAGCTAAGACAAATCAAGATTTATTAAAAAGTTTAATTAAAAAACAGTATTTTGTACATGTATTTTTGTGATATATGTATTTATAACAGAATGAGTGCATTGTAGTTTACATGATTTTATTTCAATCCACTCATCCTGTTGAGGTGCATTGCCTTTTTAATAATATATATAATAATTCACTTTACAGATTTTATACTCCCAGTCGGTTCATAAAGAGTAACTACACAAAATGGAACAAAAATTATATTTGCTATAAAATTTAACAAGATATATTTTACAATGAGAATGGCACTATAAATTATGTTACATGTTAACCGTGAATGTTATTGGTAATACAGTATTATATTCTGTTGAGATATTGTGATGTTAAGGGTATGAGTTTTGTGAAATATGTAATTTAATCTGAATAATAATTGTAACAATTACCTGAGTAGTTTCTGAATACGGTTTCACTGGAAGATGTGAAAAGCCATTTTTCTGGCCCCACTGTGATGATGACATAAAGTATAGAACCGTTGTTCTCTTCTGACCACATTCGCAGGATGGGAATTTGATGATGTCATTCTCATCTCCGAACACACGGGCAATGTTATTTAAGTAAGTTTAAGATAATGCAGCTGCTTATGGAGGAACAAAGAGTCAGGCACTGCAAAGACTTTCCTGAGGCTCCTGTTGTTTTCCAACTTCATTCTCCACAACCTAAAAAGCTCAAGTGACTTCTGTAGTGCATAGTGCTTGAAAGCAGCAGATGTCACCCACCTGCTTGCACTCCACCTTTTTTTTCTAAATTTTAGCATTTGTAATCTTTTATCCTTTTCAGAGAAACAAAAATAAGCAAACAGCAGTCAGAGTAAATAGACAATAAAACCAATTAAGTCATAACAGCAGCATATGACCAGTTTTGTGGGTTTTGGTGGTTTGATGTAAAGAGTACCTTTCACCCTAAGAGCACAATGAAACGGTATAATTTTGTGAAATGGTTTTTAAAATGTCTGGTGGTTACCAGGCCCTCTGATATATTTAACACTGTCGCCAGACAGTGGCTTGGAAAATTAGATTAAAACAAAGTTAATTTTGGTGTTGCAGATCTATTCTGCTGGAAAAGCGTTTGAAAAAAATTCATACTGACTTCCCTGTTGGTTCCAAGGCTAAGCTGTGTTTAATGAACGCTTTAATGAACGACACATCTTGAAAAGAATGTTAAACAGATTGGTCTGCAGCCTGTGCTCTTTGATAATCACACAAATTCGCAGGGGTCAAGGAACAAAAATATTTAAAATGTTTCCAAAAAAAATATTTGGTTGTTATGGCCATGGTGATCCAAAGGCTCCGATCAACATTTTTCCTCTCCTCCTCGGTCTTTCCAATCCATGCCTTGTGCTTGCTTTAAAGGCTCTGCATCCACGAGGTTGTGCCCCTGCTGTCATCTGAAAGATTCCTCTGTTGTTGCTCACAATGCACCCATTATTTCATTATATGGTAATCTTTCAATCCTATTAGTTACAGTGGGAGGTTCACCCTCAGAGCTGCACATGTATGCGTCAGTATATACAGAACTGAACAATCTGTTGTTGCTCTGTTGATGGAAGTAAATAATGTATATATCATTCAAAATCACATTTAAATTATATATGTGCACTTTTTAAAATAAAAATCATTACATAAAATATATTGTGCATCTGTTAAAGTGTATAATGTATGTGCCCAAAAGCCTAGTTTAAGCTGCCAACAAATCTTTGTATGCAAGAAGTGCATTAAAGACCATGTATGTAGAAAATAAAAGTTTTTTGTCATTAATATTACAGGTAAACAAACTATTTCAGATACCTTGCAGCACCGTCCTTTTCCAGCTATCGCTGTACATATATTTAATGATTTTAAATGGATAGACACTGACTTAAACTAATGGACCCATTTTCCTGATTTCCTTACTTCTCATGTCTCAATAATTCAAATCAATGTTCATCCACACTTCAAAATGTTTTGGTTGTAGGATTCATTTTCTTTATATAGAGATTTCATACTAGAATTGCTCAATTCATTTGCAGTGGTAATAGAAAACCATCATTAGATTTTCCATTCAGCAATGTGAAAGATCGGTGGATTTTGTTATGCCTAGCTTCAACTTTTATTCCTGTTCCACTGTGCTGCAGACATTGTCTGTTTGGTTTCTTTGGCCACCTCTGGTGTTGTTTAACAGAAGATTAGAGGGAGCTGAAATTCCAATCTCACGCTTCTGCTCTCTTGCATATAAATGCTCGCAGGCTGCCCACAAGTCTGTGTAGATCTTTTCCAGTACCCCTTCCTCACCCCAGCTTTGCCATTGGAGCAACCTCCCTACATGAGTGGGGTTGTGACAGCCCTGACCTTCAGACAGCGCTGTCATCTCCTCAGCCAGGCAAGTCAGTGAAAGAGCATTAGGTACATAATCCCTTTATATATTCATTGGCTTTTCAGCTGGAATTAGGAATTGACCAAATTACAGAATTTGGTGTCCAGTTTAGGAAAGACATTCCACACAGACTTCAAGGTTGAATTTATAATCATAATTGTTTATAATAATTCCTCATACTTATATGACGCTTTTCTGGACACTCCACTCAAAGCACTGTACAAGTAATGGGGACTCCCCACCACCACCACCACCTGGACAGCAGCCATAGTGCGCCAGAACACTCTTCACACTTCCTTGAGGAGGAGTACAGTGATGAAGCCAGTTCTTAGATGAGGATTATTTAGGAGGCCATGAGTGGTAAAGGCCAGGGGAAAATCTGGCCAAGACATCGAGGTAACACCTACTCTTTTGAAGAAACAAACTGGGATTTTTAATGACCACAGAGATTCAGGACCTCAGTTTTACATCTCATCTAAAGGACGGCGCCTTTTTACAGTATAGTGTCCCCGTCACTATACTGAAGCATTTGGATCCACACAGAATGCAGGGTGAGTACCCCCTACTGGCCCCACTAACACCCCTTTCAGCAGCAACCTTATCTTTCCCAGATGGTCTCCCATCCAGGTACTGAACAGGCTCACACCTGCTGAGCTCTAGCTGTCTGCCAGTTGTGAGTTGCAGGGTGCACTAGCTACTGGTTGTAAGCAAGTAAGTTGTATGTAAATGGTGAGAAGGCAAAATAAATTATTTAATGGGAACAATATAAAAACCAAGTACATGGTTTTCGATAAGGTTTAAAGCATATATCCTAAACTTGGAAGGAGGAGGCAGGAGTAAATTCACAAGGTCTGAGGTCTGATAAACACATTTTAAACACTTCAGTCATTAAAAAACACCTCTCGGATGTTTTAAATGAAAACACGTATGACACATTAGTATACTGTAGTAAATGATGAGCATTTCCACAAATCTTAAAAAAAAAGTTATAATCTTGAGCAGTTGATATGAGTCAGAATATCAAATTGGGTTGTGGCGCCATGTTTATTTACTTAAGTATTTTACGAGGGGCTCTCAGGGCACACACACATCTACAGTATAACAGATAAGGGGACCAAGGGTTGGCCTGATTTAATCTTTGTTTAGTTCAGCACATTGATAAGCAACTACGATAATAGCTCTCTCAGTAGTGTTGGCAAAGTAGTCTATTTCAATTTTCAAAAGAAACCATGTCAACAGTCATGTAGTCTAAATTAACAAGCAGTGTTCTTAGTTGCATGTATTCTATAATCTCCCCTGAAACATTAATTTACAGTGACGTGGAGCTTTCCATCGCAGTCCTAATAGTTTTATTATTGTTTTCTATAGAACACATTGTCTTAAGGCACTTTATAATGTAACAAATGAAAAGCCAAACCTTTAAACTACTAGTAACACATGACTATGCATTTTCTTAAAAGAAACAAAATCTAGAGTATGAAAAATAAGCCGCAAGAAAGGATTTAAAAGTGCTGTGTGATATGTAAGGTCTGATTTGGGCTTAGAGTTTATTTCACAGCCTTGGAGCAACAGAACTTATAGCTAGGACACCCAGAGACCAGAGCTTGGTTTTTTGGAAATAATCGAAAATGAGGGTTCAAAGATCACAAACAACATGTAGGTGTATAGCAAGATAACAGCCTACAGATTACTGCAGCAGTCAGGAGCCAAGTCATTGCAACTCTAAAGGTGAGCACAAGTATTTTGAATATTGTAATTATTGTGAAACCACTGGACGAGAGACCCTGTATACTTATATATTTCGTTTCAGTTCAAATCAGAGAAGCTGAGTTCAATTTGAGGATATAGCACCAAGCACTACAGTACAATAATCCAGCTGGGAAACAACACATGTCCTGTACGGAATAGTTCTTCTGCATCAGATGTGGAAAGCCATGAACAGATATATCAGCAGTGTTGATAAGCTAATGAAAAAAGATTTGTGTCTTGTAAGCATGACCCTAAAATACAAGACGCAGATCAAAGATTACACCAGGATTACTCACCAAGTCTCAAGAGTACTGGGCCTGATTACAGCACTATCAATAGTCAATACTTAAGTAAATACTAATGTTAACACAGCTGTAGAGTTAGTATGGAGAGACAAACAACCTAAAATCAGTCTTGTCAGCATTGCGATGTAATAAATTTGGATGCATCTGTTTTTGAACATCATCAAAGCAGTGGTAGGTAGTCCTTAATGAAAATCAGCTTTTGTGCAAACAGGAATTTGTCTGTCTTTAGCATTGAAATGTAAATAGATTATATCTTCAAAGAATCTGACCAACGGCAGCAAAGATACTAAAAAGACCAAGACCAAGAACCAAGAACACACATGTGCAATGCTCAATTTGCACAAATCATTTTCACACCGAGATTTAAAGCATGGTTCCAATAATACTAATAACTCTTTCTTTTCAATAAAATGGTATGATCAAGTACATAGACGATAATACTGAGGCTTCTTACCCCCGTGGCGTCACAATGGATACCCTGTCCATAAGGACAAAGCTGTTGGGGTCACTTAACAACAAGATCTTATCGTCAGCAATTTCCCAGAGGTGTTTGTGAATGAAAGAATGTACATGCATGCTGTAAACACCAAGGTCCGTTTTTTTATATGCAAAAACATTAATTTGTTAATAGAATTAATAAGCATTTGTTTTATCTCAATTATTTTGATTTTGTAAATGTTTTGCTCATTCAGTACTACAATTTTGGATTTTTATTTTTATTGAACAATATCATCTATAATGAAACCCAAAAGATCCCATCAGCAGGTATTGTTTTAACCTGTAAAATTACAGACCTCTGCAGCCATGAATGGGCTTGTAAAGTGTTATCTTGTATCTGATGAGCATACAGTAAGTACAGTGGTATCAGCTTGGCTTGATAATTGCCAAGATTGAAAATATAGATAGAATGTATACAAACAGCTGCTATGCCAGAAAGTCCAAAAATCAATTTTGCAGAACCTAAGAGGCAAAGTTTAGGGA